AAACAGCAACATGGAACAGAATGAAATCCTCCAGAGTGAAGTTTTGTCCTGTGAAAACAATATCAGTTATGGTCCATTGCAAATACATATCATTAAAATGATGACTTAACCTGATTTTTCTGTCTGATCATGATAGTAAACTTTGATCACATGTACTTATTTTTAGGGGTGCTGGTGTAGCACAATGGAAAATTTAAAGAGAACGTTTGGTTATAAATATTACCATTAAACCTCAGTTTTGGATAGGGCACTGGTGCCTGCCTATAATCCCAGTGGCTTGGGAGGCTGAGGCAGGAAGGTCACAAGTTCAAGCCAGCCTTAGCAATTTAGTGAGGCCCTAAGCAACTTAGTGAGACCCTATCTCAAAATAAAAAGTAAAAAGGGCTGGGGATGTGGCTCAGTGGTTAAGTGCTCCTGGGTTCAATGCCTGGTACAAAAAAAAAAAAACCAAAAAAACAAAAAACAAATAAACAAACAAAACAAACCTCATTCCCCCAAAAGCCCTCAATTTCATTCTTCTGTATTTATTTATTTAGCAGTATTGGGTGATGAATCCAGAGCCTTGTGTATGCTAGGCAAGTACTCTGTCATTGAGATACCACCAACCCTTTCATTTTGAGAGCCTCACTAAGTTGGTGAGGCTGGCCTTGAACTTGCCATTCTCCTGCTTCAGCCTCCCAGGTACTGGGATTAAATGTGTGCACCATGGCAGCCAGCTCTTATGTTGGGCAGGTCACCTAGAAGTCATTACACATTATGTTTTCTTTTCTTTTTTAAAAAATATTTATTTTTTAGTTATAATTTGGTATAATATCTTTAATTAATTTGTTTATTTTTATGTGGTGCTGAGGATCGAACTCAGGGCCTCGACCGTGGTTGGTGAGCGCTCAACTGCTGAGTCACAACCCACATTAGGCCTTCTCTTTCTTTCTTTCTTTCTCTCTCTCTCTCTCTCTCTCTCTCTCTCTCTTTCTGTGTGGTGCTGGGAATTGAACCTAGGGCCTGTGCATGAGAGACAAGCACTTTATGTTGAGCTATATCCCTAGCCCTTTCTTTTCTTTCTTTTCTAAACAAAACACTCTGATACATTAATATGTCAAACATTAAAATCTGCAATATAATTTGTTACTAGATCAGATTCTTGTTCATACAATGGAATCAAAGATACAAACCTATAAGATAAATTGTATTTAATTACCTTTCAATTGTATAGGGCAATTCACTGATACAATGAACTGCAATTTGGGAAAACTCTTTCATTGAATTTTTCTATGGAAACATCTTGTTCCACCAAGTAGAGATTGGTCCCATTTCTTATACCATATATAGCATCAGGGAGAGAGATTCAATTCTCTGAATCTTCAGAGTTATTTCTTCATACAGGGAACAAGTTCCTCATTATATGGAAATTCTGAGAGGAGCTCTGATGTGGATTGTACTTCTTGGCTCCTCCTCCTGAGTTGTTGATTTAGATGCAGTTCCACCAGATTATTTGATGTCTTATGTGTTTTTTTTTTTTTAACAGACTTTCTCTCTCCTCTTCTTTATGAGAATATTGCATCCCTCATCTTTAATCTGAATCTAAATCTCATTACAACCAGTAAGTAAGTAACAATTGGCTAATTCCCTTCTGACAAGTGAAAGCCCAAGGGAGATAAATACACAAAGAAGGGGAAACAGTTTTCTAGCCCTTTTGAGAAACAGACCTGAAAAGAATTGGGCTTGCTTGTTAAAAGCTTAGTCATGGTGTGGTGGTTTGGATCTAGTTTGAATAAGATCCCCAAGGGTTCTTGTGTCAGGAGCTTGATCCCTAGTGGGGTGAGAAGTAGTGGGACTTTTAAGTAGTAGAGCCTAGTGGGAAGTCCCTAGGTCATTGGGAAAACTATGCTCAGAAGGAATTAAGGTATCTCCATGGGACCTCTCGACTCTTATGAGAATGGGTTGTTATAAGAGAGCCTGGCTCCTGAATCAGTCACTGGCTTCCTGTTTGTTTTAAATGTGGTCAGTTGCGCCTACAGGTGCTCCTGGTATTGTGAAGTTCTTTCACCATTCACCATCTGCCATGAAATCCTCACCAGAGCCAAGCCAATGTTGGTGCCTTGCTTTGAAATTGCCAGAACCATGAGCTAAGTAAACCTCTTTTATTTATAAAGTTAGCTAGGAAATGGACTAATACACACATTTCTTTCAAACAGAAACAGATATATTCAGATGGCTAGAAACAAAGGGAGTGAGTTCTTGTTTAGTGTCCAGTATCACAGAAATTACTTGCTAAATTTTTGAATGACTTGTTGAACATTAAGTATGGGCCCATAAAACCAGTTGGGCCCATTTTGAAAGGTTCATGTTTGACTGTCATAATTTTGTCTATAAAGGTGTGTAGTAAAGGATTCCTCTTGCCCAGAGGCCTGGCCTTTGCCCTTGGCTCCTGAGAGGTGATCTCTAAACCTTGGAATGTCTTGCTTGATAAGAGTATTTTAATTTACTGGGGATCTTGGACCATGCCAGATAGTCTATGTTAACAACGTGGTTTATGGTGGCAGTTTTGGTCCAAATAGCCTCAGCTTAGCCTCTTGATAGGGCCAGAGACTAAGGTCAGTCACGCAGGTGGAGAGACCATGTGTATATGACCAGGTATAAAAACTTTAGATACCATAACTTTAGAAGCTTTCCTGGTTAGCAATAACCCGTATGTATTTTCACACATAATTTCTGAGAGGAGTAAGCGCAGTCTATACAACTTCTCTAGGACAGGACATCTGGAAGTTCTGAGCACTGCTCCTTTGTTTGAAACTCTCCTGAGCCCTGCCTTAGGTTTCTCTTCCCTCGGTTACTTTTCATCTGTATTTTTCACTGTATTAAACTGGAGCCAGCTGTAAACAGCTTTTAGTGAGTTCTGTGGGTCTTTCTGCCAAATTAATAACCTCAAAGGAAAAAAAAATAACCCGAAGGTGGTCTTGGGGACCTCAAAGTTGCAAATCATCTCAGAGATGGGTGGTCTTTGGGACTTGGAAACTTTGTAGTTGCATCAGAAATGGGATTTACTGAAATGATCTTTATTCACCGTAACATGGTGAGAGCATGGTTTGGGAAAAAGAAGGATGAGAGGGTAGGGGTTGGTTTACCTGTGGTTCCTAGATGGCTGCTGACCTTTAAATGCTCCATTTGAGTCCCCTGCCCCACACTTCCAGAGACCTGGGAAGTAAGTGTGGGAAAGTGGTACAGCTGCTCCCAGTTCAGTTTCCAGGGGAGGGTGGGTCTTCCACCTGCTTGGAGGGGAGGATGGAGGTAGAGTTGGGGTCAGGATTGGTGAAGCAGATTCCTAATTCATGTTGTTTATTAGTGGCTTCCAATAGTCGGACCTTACCTTCCACTGTCATGCAAGGAAATTGACCTTCATCATGAAATTGACTTTCATCATGTCTTTAGTATCATTTCTCCATATCAAGAGAATTTTCCAAATCAACTCTGAGGAAACTTCCATGGGTTGAGGGTTGTCCCTTGGGAAGAGATAATAACCAGTAGATGATTAAATAGAAAAAGCTATGCAGGCCTGTGTTAAGCAAGGCTGTTTGGGCTGCTCAAAGAAAATACCACAAACTGGGCAGCTTATAAATAACATGAATTTAGGGCTGGGATTGTAGCTCAGTGGTAGAGCACTTGCCAAGCATGGGCGGGTCTTGAGTTCTATCCCCAGCACCTCAAAAATAAACAACAACAACAACAACATGATGTATTTCTCATAGTTCTGGAGATGGGTAAGTCCAAGATCAGAGGGCCAGTGTGGTTGGGTTCTGGTGAGGGATCCTTTCTGGGATATACACTGCTGGCTTCTTGCTGTGTCCTCATGTGGAAGAAAGAACAAGTGAGATCCCTGGAGCCTCATTTATAAGGGCATTAATCCTATTGAAGAGGCTATCTCTTAAGACCTAATCACCTCCCCCAAGACTCCACCTCCTAATACCATCCCAACGGTGATTCGATCTCTGGATAGGAATTTTTAAGGGATACAAACATTCAGATTATTGCACCAGTTTTACATAAAAAGTCTCAGGTATAGTTGTTAATTTAATGCTGAAAACCATTTTGTGAAGAAGGAGAACCAAATATGGTGATTCTGAAGACCCAGAAAGTAAGTGGGCTAATATCACACAGGTGTAAATGCAGAACTGAGCCTCAAGTCCAAATTTTTTATTCCAAATCCAGTGCTCTGTCCAGAGCACCATGGCTGCTTCCATTGGCAACGGAGGGTCTCAGTCTGCCTCCCCTCTGCCCAGCTTCCAACAGGGCGACTGGAAAAGAATCAAAGGATGAAAAAAAAAAATAGAAAGAGGACTTGGGGAGGGGGAGGACTGAACGGGTTTGTTTCTAAGGGGAAGGAAGAAGAAAAGGGGCATTAATCTTAGAGTATGGCCTTGAAGCAAACCCTAAGGGGGAGATAGGATATCACTGTCCCCATCTCTCCATAAAAGCCCCCCAAAATCCAAAGATGCCTGGTCTTGTGGAGGCTGGAATCACTATGGGGATGGGGAGGGGAATAAAAATAAGTCCAGGTGCTTCCAGGGAAAGCAAGAGGAAGAAGAAAGAACTACTAGAGGAAAGTAGAGAAAGAGAAAGGGAAGGAATACAGAGGTATTGATGGGACACTTGGAGCAAAAGCAGATTTTTCTGAAACAAATATAATTTGCATGTTCTTAAACTTGGGTATCAAACTACATAGGATCCCTGAGCCTGTCAGATTTTTCTTTTGTCCCCAAAGCTTAGGTCCTGTCCTGTGTCACCCCAGCTACTCCTTCTCTCCTTCAAGTTATCCAGGGCTCTGCTGCTCAGCCCACATCCTCCCCCAAACCTTTCCCCTTCATCTCCACAATATCTGTTGGACTGGCACAGGCTGGGATGATGGCTGTTCGGGCCCCCTGTTGGTCTCTGCATACCGCCACTAGGATGAAGGGACATTTCCGGGGCCTCTGCCTTTTGAATGAAGCGGCTGGACTGGAGCAGAGCAAGGGATAAGATTTTGAAACTGGTTTTGTGAGTCACAGCAAACTCTGAGCACCTGCCCATTTGAGGCAAACTTCGCGAGCTTAGCTTGTGGGAACTTTCAGAGCAGATCTGGGGGCTGGGACTTTTTCAGTGGCTTCATCAACTCACAGCAGAAGCGAACAGCCTTGAGTTGAGGAAATTGTGGCTGGACAGGCAGCCAGGCACTTCTCCCCTTCCTTCTCCTGCTGACTGGTGACAGTGAAGCCCGTGCACAGCTGAGTGTCGGAGGGAGCGAGGGGCCCCTTTGGGGATGTTGGGGCTAGCTGTCACCCTCCTGCATCTCTTGCTCCTCAAGGGGCATCACGGCCAAGGTAAGGATCCTCAGCTTGACATGGGGTGAGGGCTGCCATAGACTCGGGGCTGTGTCCTTTTGGGAGATTAGAATCCAGACCTTATGTGATCACCTGGAATGAGGTGAGCAAGAGAGAGAGGAAGGGGAGGTGGCCCCGATCACATAGGTCACCTAGGTCATTGGAAAATGCATGGCTTTTGCTTTGTGAGAAAGGGAAATCTTAGGAAAACTTTTGCGAAGGCTCTGTATCCACAACTTTCTCTTTCTGGTATGCTGCTTCCTCTTTGGCCCTGAACTTGTTCCTTTTTCTCATGCTTTTGCTCAAATACTGTCTTCTTGATGAGGCCTTCCTCATCCATGATACTATATTGCAACCCCTTATCTCTTGCTCCGCTTAATTTTTCTCCATAATTCCCATCTCCATCTTATAGACTACACTGTTTACTTATTTATTCAGCCTGGTAGGATGCAAAACTTGAGATCAGGGGATTTTGTGCATTGTTCATGCCGTACCCTCACCATCTAGACACAAGCAAGACCTTCAATAAATATTTATTTCCATGACAACAGCACCCTCTCTATTCCCCTTCCTTCCTTGAGTACATTTTGAGTGGCTCTGTACCAGCCTCTGGGCTAGGCATTGAGAATTCAGTGCTCAATAAGTCCATAGCTCCTTTGTTCATGGAATCTACATTCTGTCACCAGAATGAATAGAAAAATTACAGCTGTGATCAGGGCAGAGCATGGGGCCCAATTTAGTAGGTGCTCAAAGCATGTTTATTGAGTGAATACGTGAATTATTTACAGGCATCTTAGAGGCAGACTGGAATGATTTTGGGGTCAGATATGTAGGGGAGCAGGAACCTTCAAATCACTGCCCACAGGAGTGAGCCTGGGCCCTAACATTCATTTGGTCCCTAAATTTAAGTTTTAGTTGTTCATTCTAAGGAAATCTGAAGGGATGGGATGGAGACTGTGAATCCTGAGGTACTTTGGGTATAGGGTGAGAAGATATGCTGGAGAAAAAAGAGTAGGGATAGTGTCTTTCCAGTTATCTCTGAGGATTGCCAGCTATTTATGTAGATCATGTGAAAACTTTCCCTTCTAAAGGAGTGCTCTCTAATTGGGGCTGTTCTGTTTGGGATCCAGGTCGGCTGTAGAAGGCTGGAGTCATTTTTAGTTATCTCTTCCTTGACGCACCTCCTTTCAAAGTAAGAATGATGCAAATAGCTAGAAGAGAGATTAGAAGACATAGAAACCTGGCTGCAGCACTATCCTGAAGGGAATTCAGCTGTAGAAATCACTGTAGGGGTAACCTGGCTATTGTCTTTATAAACAAACCCATTATTTATTTATTTTTACAGTAGTGGGGATTGAACCCAGGGGATCTCTACCACTGAGATGTACTCCTAGCCCTTTTTATTTTTATTTTGAGACAGGATCTCACTAAGTTGCCCAGGCTGGCCTCGAACTTGTGATCCTCCTGCCTTAGCCTCTCAATTGGTTGGAATTATAGGACGTGCCACCAATCTCTACAGAAACCTTTCCTATTAGGGTGCAAGATATGTACAGAAAAGCACAAAAATTATAAATGTACATCTCAGGGAGTTATTGTTAAATGGACATACCCTTGGAACTATCATGTGTTCTTTCTATTACCTACTTCCTCTTCTACAAATAAAACCACTGTTCTGACTTTTAACATCATAGGTTAGTTTTACCCAGCTATAAGTGAAATCACTTGGTATGCATTCTCATGCCTAGCTTCTTTTGGTCAATATCTTGTGAAATTCTCTATGTTGTAACTGATCATTTTCATGGTGGCATAGTGTTTCATTATATGACTGTATCATAGTTTATCCATTCTATCATTGATGAGCATTTGGGTTGTTTCCATTTTTTTTTGCTATATAATGATGCTGCTACAAGCTTTTTATACAGGCATGTCTGTTGGGTATATTTCCAGGGTAGAATTGTGGGGTATGGGAACATACTTACCACACAGCAAATGCTGTCACACTATTTTCTAAAGTGGTTAAATCAAGCTGTGTGTGGGGATTTCATGTTACTTGAGGGCTACTGTTTCTTTATTCTGAGGGCCTGTGAGTGGGGAGTGAAATTGCAGGGATGTGGTGCCTATAAGGCCTTCCTAATATTCTGTGTGAAATTCCTATATTACAGTCACTTTGGGGAGTTAAATGAAGAGTCACTTTTTTTTTTTTTTTTTTTTTTGGTACTGGGGATTGAACATGGGGCAACCACTGAGCTACATCCCCAGTCTTTTTATATATTTTTTTAGGGACAGGGTCTTGCTAAGTTGTTGAGGCTGGCTTTGAACACTCGATTCTCCTGCCTCAGCCTTCCAATCCATTGGGATTTCAGGTGTGTATCACTGTGCCTGGTGAGAGTCACTCTTGAATGAATTAAACAGATTCATGAAGCTCTAACAATGCTCCAAGAATTGTGCAAGCTTTTGTGAGGAAACAGAAGAAACATGTTAATTCTACCCATAAGAATTTCTTTCAGACAGAGGAAAATAGGTGTGCACAATAACAGCTATACAGGAAGATAGAAAATGCTAAGTGTCTCTGACAGGCAGGATCCCTTCTGAGTGAAATGGCAGCTGAGAAGATGGTGAGTCCTTCAGATAGGGACCCCAGGGATTGGCCTTGGGGGAAGAGTGTCTAGGTGTTAAGAACAAAGTAGAACAATCTAAGCAGAGGAATACTAAACAAAAGCAAAGAAAACACAGGGTTTGGAAGGCAAACGCAATAGTTACCTTGGAGAAAGATAGTTCTCTATCATAGAGGAGACAATTCAGTTATCGGGGCCCTGGGCTAGGCCCATTTTGATAGAGGGGAGGGAGTTCCTTTGCCTGAGAAGAGCAGTTATATGGTCAGTCTGAAGCTAAGTTGAGAGGAAGAGAGAAGCGGGCTGCAGGCTGTGGAGGATACTTTGTGATTTTGAGTTTGGCTTGACTAGGGCTGTCCCAGCCCTGCACTTTGGGGATCTCACTGGGCTCTATTCACTTAGACCACAGCAGGGACCACCTCTGTTTCCTCTCCCCCAAGCCTAGTAGCACAGGCTCAAGCTGAGAAAACCTCAACATCCTCGTGTTGGCTGGTGGAAGCTATATTCTCTCTGAGACCTTCCTTTGCTTTTTCTCTGGGGGCCTCAGGCCTCACATCTTCCTCTGCTCAGCAGGTCCAGGTTGTAGGAAGCTGCGCTGATGTTGGTTCCAGCTTGAATCAGGCTGCAGGGCCGAATGGGACTCCCTGCGAGTCAGATGGTCTCCTTGACAGTCCTCTATATTTGAGGCCACTTCTTCCGGAGTTCATCACCTGGGTCCCCTGCCCTTTCTCTGCAGAGTTTCTATTTTAACTCTTCCTTTCCTAGCCACCGGAAAAGGCCCCCCAAGGCTGCTGAGCAGTAGCAACGGCAGTGGCTGTGGCCCTGAGACCTTCTCGACCATGAACAACTGACACTCAATGCTGGCTCCCGTTATCCTTCCCTTCAGACACATGAGAACTTGTCTTAGAGTTATCTTTTCCTACTGGTATTTCCTGTGTCCTCACTTGGCATGTACACCTCTCTGGGACAGGGGCTGAGGTGTTTTTTTACATGAGTTCTGACACTTTCCTTTTCATAACATCTGCCATTCTGGCCCCCCTTCACCTTCTAGTCCATTCACAGAAGCTCAGTCCAGCCATCTTTCTTATTCCTATGCTGGATTGTGGAGAGCTTCAGGAAGAAGTTCAATATCAAAGAGCAGATATGGAGTCACAGTCTCCAACCTGAGCTGTGCTCTCAAGGTCCCGGAATTCTTGTTTCTAATCCATGGCTTCTTCCATTCCCCAAAAGGTGATTCCAAGCCTTTACCATCTTTTCAGGGCCCACGTTCACCATCATAGCCTCTATCTGCTGACCACCTTCTTCTCTCAGAAAACAGGATCATAAATTAGGGATTCGTACCTCCAGCCCCAACAAGGATTCCCCAATATTAGCCTACCTCATCTACTCCTGTAAACTGCCACATTTGCCTCTGCTCAGGGGAAGGGGGCTCTTGTCCTGTCCCTGGTCAAACCAAACCAACTGCAAGTTCAAAGCCAGCCTCTGTACCTTAGTGAGATTCTATCTCACAATAAAAAATAAAAAAAGGACTGGGTGTATAGCTCAGTGGGAAAGTGCCTCTGGGTTTAAGTCCCAGTATTAAAAAAAGAAAGAATAAAGAGAAAAAGAAAGAAAGACCAAACCAACATGACACCAACATGATCGTCCTAGGTCCTTTTTTATTTGCCGAAAAAACCCATCTGGTGTGTGTAAACTAATTCAATAGTATATAAAAAAATGATATAATAAAAAAATGAGCTCCAAGGCAGTATATCATTAGGACTCTGGTTTACAAACTCAATTCTTTAAGTATTTAACAGTCTAATTAATAACTTAACCATTTCCATGTATAATCCATATTTAGTTTTGTGATAGTGGAGAACTACATTTTTTTAATATTTATTTTTTAGTTGTAGTTGTACACAATACCTTTATTTTATTTATTTTTTTGTGGTGCTGAGGATCAAACCCAGGGCCTCGCACATGCTAGGTGAGCGCTCTGCCACTGAGCTACAGCCCCAGCCCGAGAACTACATTTTTCTATGAAATACTCTATGTTTTAGTGCTGTTGGTAATATAGAAGTATACTTTATGATTATTTTTATAGATTTATATATTAAGCACCTTTTAATATTTGTTCTCTCTCTTGCAAATTTATAAAGGTAAAAATAAAATAAAACCACCCAAAACCTAAAAATTAAACTCATATTTTCATCACTCCACTTTCCAAACCTGCTGGAGAGAGATTTGCCCCTTCTTAACCAGACCAATAATTGACAGAGCATGAGTGTCTTTCCTCCCCGCTGCTGCTCTGCCTGTAAGATCCTCTTCCCGATTCCTTTCTCCATCCACCAGGCAGGCCTTGAATCTCTTTCAATGGTGACTCCTAGACACCTCCTCGGAGCAGCC